TTTTGCTTGAATTTCATTGCAGCAACTCAAAATGGTAGTTTATATGGCCCCCATGTGCTTGTATGCATGCCTGACAAAGTTGGGGCATGCTCCTAATGAGATGATGGATGGTGTCCTGGGGTATTTCCTCCCAGATCTGGACCAGGGCATTACTGAACTCCTGAAGAGTCTGAGGCAGGGGCGGACTGACAACTCATGGGGCCCCCGGGCAATAGGGGGTCATGGGGCCCCTTTTTCCTTGCCCAAACTCAAAAAAGACTATGAAAAAGGTACCAGGGGCATCTCATGGGGCCCCCTACTGACCCTGGGCCCTCGGGCAGTGCCCAAGTTTCCAAATGGTCAGTCCGCCCCTGGTCTGAGGTGTAACCTGGTGGCATCGGATGGACTGAAATATGATATCTTAGAGGTGTTCTATTGGATTTAGGTCAGGCAAGTGTGGGGGCCATTCAATGGTATCAATTCCTTCATCCTCCAGGAACTGCCCTCATACTCTCACCACATGAGGCCGAGCATTGTCGTGCACAAGGAGGAACCCAAGACCCACTGCACAAGTGTAGAGTCTGACAATGAGTCCAAGGATTTCATCCCGATACCTAATGGCAGTCAGGGTGCCTTTGTCTAGCCTGTAGAGGTCTGTGCGTCCCTCCATGGATATGTTTCCCCAGACCATCACTGACCCACCACCAAAACAGTCATGCTGAACAATGTTACAGACAGCATAACATTCTCCACAGCTTCTCCAGACCCTTTCACGTCTTGTCACATGTGCTCAGGGTGAGCCTGATCTCATCTGTGAAAAGCACAGGGTGCCAGTGGCGGACCTGCCAATTCTGGTGTTCAATGGCAAATGCCAACTGAGCTCTATGGTGTCGGGCAGTGAGCACAGGGCCCACTAGAGGACATCTGGCCCTCAGGCCACCCTCATGAAGTCTGTTTATGATTGAAGGTCAGAAACATTCACACCAGTGGCCTGCTAGGGGTCATATTGTAGGGCTCTGGCAGTACTGTTCCTCCTTGCACAAAGGAGCAGATACCAGTCCTGCTGATGGGTTAAGGACCTTTTACAGCCCTGCCCAGCTCTCCTATAGTAACTGCCTCTCTCCTGGAATCTTCTACATGCTCTTGAGACTGTGTTTGCAGGCATAGCAAACCTTCTGGCAATGGCACGTATTGATATGCCATCCTGGAGGAGTTGGACTGCCTGTGTAACCTCTGTAGAGTCCAGGTATCGCCTCACGCTACCAGTAGTGACACTGACCCTAGCCAAATGCAAAACTTGTGAAAAACAGTCAGAAAAGATGAGTAGTGAAGAAAAATGTCAGTGGCCTGTTTTGAGGCTGTCTCATTGTTGCCCATCTAGTGCACCTGTTGTTAATTTCATTAACACCAAAGCAGCTGAAACTGATTAACAACCCCCTCTGCTACTTAACTGATCAGATTGATGTCCCAGGATTTTAATTGATTTGATGCTATACTCTGATTAACAAGTGTTCCTTTAATTTTTTTGAGCAGTTTTTATTGCTATTAATTTTTTAATTGGTGGACCAGCATAAATGTCACAACTTGTGCTATTTCAATGGCACACCGCTGATTGTGTATAGCTTTTGAATGAGAAAAATCCAAGACCGACTCTTCCCTCTCAAGAAAGCAGGGGGAGGGGACAACTGCCACAGTCAATTAGGCCCTACGGTCATATAATGTTGCTCTTTCTGGCCACAAACAGTAGTGTCAATGGGTGTTTTTTGACATCTGTAGGCAATTTAAATCATGTCTAAACCCCAAAACAAATAAGTAATATATTGCAGTTAACCACTTCTTAGATGTGGTTGCCATATAGGTTTTATCTAGTCAGACTTTTTTTCCTTACTTTTCTCCTGGTGATCCTTCCAGTAACACTCTTCTTGTCCAAGATTGGCAATGAACATTATACTGTATCAATGGAGAACGCTGGGCTGCTTTGCTAATTTGGACTATATACACCACACCCCCTCTCCTCATCTTCATTACATACTAGGGGGAATGTTCTGTAGTTCACTGAAGAGAACTTGCATGGCTTTTAACATTGTTTGAGTTTTATTTTCAGTGTTCTTTATATATAATCTAACATAAGATATTCAGACGATATAAATCGTCCCCATTTTCCACAGACAATCACTGATTTGAGGAGGCTGTCCCTGTATTTCATTCACTACCTGCAGGAGTAGGAGGAGGGAGGAGAGGGATTTGTGCATTTCCTCACAACTTTCATGACATCAGAGCCATTCTGTTGGTTTGCAGGCATCATGTCACTGACTGTCCCTGCCTCCCAGCTTACACAAAGGAGGCAAGCGAAGGTGAAGAGATAGAGAAAAGGAGATAGCGCCTGGTTCTTACTTGGCAAATAATAATAAGAGGGAGTAGGATGGACCAAGAGCTGTGTTCAGGGCTACTCTGAGCTGTCTGTGTGAGAAGGAATTGAGAAAGAGATGGACAGAGGTGATCACGCCTTTCAATGTGTTTCCAGGTTCAGGACTGATTGGGACGAGGGGGTGCAGGATAGAGAGAGAGCATTACAACACTGCATTCTGCATTACTACTGATCCTTGTACTCTGCATTTCACTGATCTCTGCATTCTCTGTTACTATTGATCTATGCCAGGGGTGGGCAACTGTGGCCCTCTAGCTGCTGTAGAACTACAAGTCCCATGAGGCATTGCAAAACTGACAGTTACAAGCATGACTCCCAAAGGCAGAGGTGTGATGGGACTTGTAGTTCACCAACAGCTGGAGGGCCACAGTTGCCCACCCCTGATCTATGCACTCTTCGTTACTTTTGACCTCTGCACTGTGTGTTACTACTATTCCCTGCACTGTGTATTACAACTGACCTCTCTACTTTGTGTTACTACTGACCTCTGAACTCTGCGTTACTTACTCCAGCCACTGCACTGTGTGGTATATACTACTGACCTCTAAACTCTTCATTACTTTCTACTGACCCCTGCACTGTGTGGTACCAGGGGCATATATAAGGGGGGAAGTCAGGGGGGGCTGAACCCCCCCCCAGAGGAGATTTGTCATCCATCCCTGGCTGCAGCCTTTTAAATTTGGGCAGGGCAGTGAGAAGAACACATCGGCAGGACGTCCGGGAACACAGCGGCAGTGAAAGGGAGGGGTGGCAGAAAGAAAACCGCTCTGTGCAGCGGTGGAGGTGGTGAGCAGCGCCGGGACTAGGGGTGTGTGGGAGGGTCAGCGGTGGTTGCGGTGACAAGCAGCTATCTCCTGTATGGCTTTCAATGAAGCAGCTGAAAGCCACGGGAGAGGAGGAGAATCAGCTTCCAGCTGCTTCGTTGAAATCCATATAGGAGATCGCTGCTTGTCACCGCAACCACCGCCGCCCCTCCTACACACCCCTAGTCCCAGTGCTGCTCGCCGCCTCCACTACTGCACAGAACGGTTTTCTTTCACCTCCTTCCCTCCCTCTCACCGCCGCTCCTCCCACCGCCGCTGTGTTCTTCTCACTGCCCAGCAGTCCATCCTCCACACCTGTCAGGAATGGACTGGCCAGCAATGGTGGGACTCACCTGCCTTTTGATCTGCAGTACCAGGGCTGGCCAGCGGGTGCTCCCAGCAATCAGAGACTCAACCTTTCAGCCAGCTAACACCTGGAACTGATGATGCTGGGGTATTTAAGGGATGGCCAGACCCACAGACTCTGCCTTGGTGTTGTGTTTGTCCTGGGCCCTGTATCTGTCCTGCATCCTGTTTCTGTCCCTCTGCCTGACCCTCTGTACTACGCTGCTTGTTACCTGTTTTGATCCCTGGCTTGTGACCCTGACCATCCCTCTGCCTGACCCTCTGTACTACGCTGCTTGCTACATGCTGAACCTGGCCTGTGACCCCGACCATTCTCTGCTTGCTCCCCCTGTACCTACCTGCCCAATTGATATTGACCCGGCCTGCCTGACGACGCTTGCTTGTATGTACTGTTATCTGTGGGTGATTGGTTGGTTTGTTTGCACTGTATTATGTTTAGTATTGCACTGCGTTTATGTTTGTATGGTTAGTGTTAATAAATTGTATTGTTTATCACATATCTGAAGTCTGCGTTTCCCTGCATCAGTCACACACCTCTGGTCATACCTGGGAGCCCTGACATTACACCAAGGCCAATCCTGACCAGAAGTGGCTGCACAGGGAAGCCATCTTGGCTTGTTGATGGGAAGGATGGATCTTGATGAGGTTGAATATTTATATCTGCTAGTGTTTGATGACAGGGAGTATGCTTATCAAACTCTGAAGGAGTATACCCGGGATGAACTGCTAGAATGTATACGGCTCGCTCATGTTCTAGTAGATCAGGGCACAGAGTTCTCTGAGGTGCAGCCATTGATTGAGGTTTGTGTTGAGTTGGTTTCATCTGGTACCCCCGAATGCAGGGATGAATTTTTGCCACCATTTAGTGCAGACCAGGTAGAGTCCCTGGTGTGGTTATTAGAGGATGATGTGGGTTACTTTCTGGAGCGTTATTCCACATGTTCACCACAGACACTAAGAGATTGTATAAACGCAGTGCAGTCATTGACCAGACAGGCTTTGTGTAAGCTCAGCTTTGTTCAACCCATACTGCAGACATGGACAGATTTGTTGCACCCAGCCTCAGTCAGCTTACAAAGACCCAGTCCTGCTTCTAATCTATTTCCTCAAAACTCTATTCCTGCATTCCCAACAGCTCCTCCTGCCCTGCTATCTACCGCATGTCAGTACCCTGTTCCCACTCGCTGCACCTATCCTGCCTTTAACCCTGTAAAAGAGCCCTCTGTAGCAACTGCTCCCTCTCCTGTTCCATCCTCCAGTTCTTCTCTGTCTCCAGCTGCTCCATTCGTTTGCAGACCTGCGTTTACTTGCAGTGCTCCAGTAGTTAAAACCAGAAAAAAGCGAAAATTCTTTCCAACCAATACCATCCTGCCAGTATCCAAACCGGTGAGCCTGCCGTCTGAGAACCTGCCTTCCGTGGTTCAGCCTGAAGCCTCTACTCAGCCTGAAGCCTCTACTCAGCCTGAAGCCTCTACTCAGCCTGAAGCCTCTACTCAGCCTGAAGCCTCTACTCAGCCTGAAGCCTCTACTCAGCCTGATGCCTCTACTCAGCCTGATGCCTCTACTCAGCCTGATGCCTCTCTTCAGCCTGATGCCGGTACGCAGCCTGATGCCTCTCTTCAGCCTGATGCCTGTATGCAGCCTGATGCCTCTCTTCAGCCTGATGCCTCTACTCGGCCTGAGACCTGTCGTTCCGCCTGGGGGTCCGGCGCCCGCCATTCCGCCTGAGGGTCCGAGACCTGTCGCTCCGCCTGGGGGTCCGGCGCCCGCCGCTCCGCTTGAGGGCCCGAGACCTGTCGCTCCTCCTGGGGGTCCGGCGCCCGCCGCTCCGCCTGAGGGCACGATGCCTGTCGCCCCGCCTGGGGGCACGATGCCTGTCGCCCCGCCTGGGGGCCCGATGCCTGTCTCCCCCCCGCCTGGGGGCCCGATGCCTGTCGCCCCGCCTGGGGGCCCGATGCCTGTCGCCCCTCCTGGGGGCCCGGCGCCTGCCGCCTCGCCTGGGGGCCCGACGCCGGTCGCCCCGCCTGGGGGCCCGGTGCCTGCTGCTCCGCCCGGGGGCCCGGTGCCTGCTGCTGCTCCGCCCGGGGGCCGGTGCCGGTGCCTGCTGCTCCGCCCGGGGGCCCGGTGCCTGCTGCTCCGCCCGGGGGGCCCGGTGCCTGCTGCTCCGCCCGGGGGCCCGATGCATGTCGCCCCGCCCGCCCGGGGGCCCGATGCATGTCGCCCCGCCCGGGGGCCCGATGCCCCGGCGCCCCGCCCGGGGGCCCGATGCCTGGCGCCCCGCCCGGGGGCCCGATGCCTGGCGCCCCGCCCGGGGGCCCGGTGCCTGCTGCTCCCCCGGGGGCCCGGTGCCTGCTGCTCCGCCCGGGGGGCCCGGTGCCTGCTGCCCCGCCCGGGGGCCCGGTGCCTGCTGCCCCGCCCGGGGGCCCCCGGTCGCCCCGCCCGGGGGCCCGGTGCCTGCTGCTCCGCCCGGGGGCCCGATGCATGTCGCCCCGCCCGGGGGGGCCGGTGCCTGCTGCTCCCGCCTGGGGGCCCGGTGCCTGCTGCTCCGCCCGGTGGCCCGGTGCCTGCTGCTCCGCCCGGTGGCCCGGTGCCTGCTGCTCCCGCCCGGGGGCCCGATGCATGTCGCCCCCCCCGGGGGCCCGGTGCCTGGCGCCCCGCCCGGGGGCCCGGTGCCTGGCGCCCCGCCCGGGTCCCGGTGCCTGCTGCCCCGCCCGGGGGCCCGGTGCCTGGCACCCCGCCCGGGGGCCCGATGCCTGGCGCCCCGCCCGGGGGCCCGGTGCCTGCTGCTCCGCCGGGGGCCCGGTCGCCCCGCCCGGGGGCCCGGTGCCTGCTGCTCCGCCCGGGGGCCCGGTGCCTGCTGCTCCGCCCGGGGGCCCGATGCCTGTCGCCCCGCCCGGGGGCCCGGTGCCTGCTGCTCCGCCTGGTGGCCCGCTGCCTGCTGCTTCTTCGCCTGGTAATCCGATGTGCCTCTGCCCGGAGTCCTGCCCGATGTGCCTCTGCCCGGAGTCCTGCCCGATGTGCCTCTGCCCGGAGTCCCTGCCCGATGTGCCTCTGCCCGGTGTCCTGCCCGATGTGCCTCTGCCCGGAGTCCTGCCCGATGTGCCTCTGCCCGATGTGCCTCTGCCCGGATGTGCCTCTGCCCGATGTGCCTGCTGCCCGGTGTGCCTCCAGCCCGATGTGCCTCTGCCCGGAGTCCAGCCCGGTGTGCCTCCTCTGCCCGGAGTCCAGCCCGGTGTGCCTCTGCCCGGAGTCCAGCCCGGTGTGCCTCTGCCCGGAGTCCAGCCCGGTGTGCCTCTGCCCGGAGTCCTGCCCGGTGTGTGCCAGTCTTTGATATCCCGCCAGTTACCAGACCCGGGCGGTGGAACATTTTGCCCAGCTAGGACTGTTTGGAGCGTCCTGAGGCCGCTCCTTGGGGGGGGGGGGGGGGGGGTACTGTCAGGAATGGACTGGCCAGCAATGGTGGGACTCACCTGCCTTTTGATCTGCAGTACCAGGGCTGGCCAGCGGGTGCTCCCAGCAATCAGAGACTCAACCTTTCAGCCAGCTAACACCTGGAACTGATGATGCTGGGGTATTTAAGGGATGGCCAGACCCACAGACTCTGCCTTGGTGTTGTGTTTGTCCTGGGCCCTGTATCTCTCCTGCATCCTGTTTCTGTCCCTCTGCCTGACCCTCTGTACTATGCTGCTTGTTACCTGTTTTGATCCCTGGCTTGTGACCCTGACCATCCCTCTGCCTGACCCTCTGTACTACGCTGCTTGCTACATGCTGAACCTGGCCTGTGACCCCGACCATTCTCTGCTTGCTCCCCCTGTACCTACCTGCCCAATTGATATTGACCCGGCCTGCCTGACGACGCTTGCTTGTATGTACTGTTATCTGTGGGTGATTGGTTGGGTTTGTTTGCACTGTATTATGTTTAGTATTGCACTGCGTTTATGTTTGTATGGTTAGTGTTAATAAATTGTATTGTTTATCACATATCTGAAGTCTGCGTTTCCCTGCATCAGTCACACACCTCTGGTCATACCTGGGAGCCCTGACAACACCGATAGGAGAAGAGGGGAGAGAGGATGGATCTGCTCTGCCTCCTCCCTGTGCCTGCCCACACTTCAGTCTGTGCAGCTTCCTTCCACCCCCCTCCCTTCCTTCCATCTTTCCACCCACCCCTCCTTCCCTTCCTTCCTTCCACCCCCACTCCTCCCTTCCTTCCTTCCACCCACCCCTCCATTCCTCCCAACCCTCACTTCCTTCCTTCCACCCACCCCTTCATTCCTCTCTTCCTTCCGCCCACCCCTCCTTCCTTCCTTCCTTCCATCCACCCCTTCCCTTCCTACCACCCCTTTCTCCCTTCCTTCCACCCCTCCCTCCCTCCCTCCCCCCCCCTCCCCCCTTCCCGCTTCCTTCCTTCCTTCCACCGCTCCCTTCCTTCCTTCCACCCCTCCTTTCCTTCCTTCCACCCAAACCTTCCTTCCTTCACCCCTCCTTTCCTTCCTTCCACCCACCCTTCCTTCCTTCCACCCCTCCTTTCCTTCCTTCTACCCACCCCTCCCCCTTCCTTCCACCCTTCCTTCCTTTCACTCACCCTTCCTTCCTTCCACCCACCTCTCCCTTCCATCCACCCCTCCCTTCCTTCCTTCTACCCACCTCTTCCACCCATCCACCCCCTCCCTTCCTTCCACCCACCCTTCCTTCCATCCACCTCTTCTTTCCTTCCTTCCATCCACCCGCCCCTTCCTTCCACCCACCTCTTTCTTCCTTCCACCCACCCCTCCCTTCCTTCCATCCTCTCCTTCTTTCCTTCCTTCCATCCACCCACCCCCCTTCCTTCCACCCACCCCTTCCTTCCACTCACCACTTCCTTCCTTCCTTCCACCCACCCCTTCCTTTGTTCTTTCCACTCACCCCTTCCTTCCTTCCTTCCATCCACCCCTTCCTTCAACCCACCCTTCTTTCCACCCACCCCTTCCTTTCATCCACCCTTTCCTTCCTTCGTTCCTTTTTTCCTTCTTCCCACCCCTTCTTTCCACCCCTCCCTTCCTTCAAGAGGGAAAAGTTGGGGGGGGGGGGCAAAAATGCGAGCTGAACCTTCCCCCAGAAGAAAAAATTATCTACAGCCCTGTGTGGTACATACTACTGACCTTTAAACTCTTCATTACTTTCTACTGACCCCTGCACTGTGTGGTACTTACTACTGACCTTTAAACTCTTCATTACTTTCTACTGACCCCTGCACTGTGTGTTACATACTACTGACCTCTAAACTCTGCATTACTTGCTACTGACCCTTGCACTGTGAGTTACATACTACTGACCTCTAAACTCTGCATTACTTGCTATTGAACCCTGCATTGTGTGTTACATACTATTGACCCCTAAAGTCTGCATTACTTGCTACTTACTACTGACCCCTGTACTGTGAGTTACCTACTACTGAGCTCAAAACTCTGCATTACTTTTTACGAACCCCTGCACTCAAAGCACCTCTCCTCATACCTGACCAGTCCACAGTGATCCCCCAGGGTGCTACAGTGTGTCATCATGACCCCAAACTCTCCTGTATGTCTCTTTACTGTCAAGATTGCCTGTTTGTTGCTTATGTATTGTGATGGTTACCTGTGTGTTTCTTATGTATTATATCAATTGCAGGATAAGCAAAAGAAGAAAAAAAGATTGTAGGTGGTCGTGGTGTTAGGATTTGGGAAACTCAACAGCAGATTAAATGGTATGCTAAGGTTTGGTGTGGGTAGTTCAGGGAGAGGAGGAAGAATTTGTGCTGGAGGTGATTTTGCCAAGGAGGGTTGTATTGGGAGAAAAAATGAATTTTTGCTTGGTTTGCATGCTGTACTTTACTTACTCCTGACCCCTGCACACTGTTTGTAACACTCATCTGGCCCTTGTGCTCTGTGTGTTACACACACCTGGCACTTGTGTTCTACATGTTACACACTTCTGCACCCTGTGCTTTATGCTCTCCTGACCCCTGGCTTTATGTAGGCTCTGGTTTTATTTAAAGGATAAGTTCACCTTTTGGACAAAAATAATAAATGCACATTTGTTTGTAGGTGAAGAAATGTGCATTTGTTATTTTTGTCCAAAGGAGCCTGGAAAGCATTGCACCAGTGATCAGCAGATTGCTGATGTCATGCAGGTCTCCTGAAAACCTGTCAGAATATCTGCTTGCTGTACGGGTTGTACGAGCAAGCAGATATATTGACAGGAAGCTTCAATGAACAACCGCGGCGCTCCACAACACCATTGAATTTCATTGAAAAGTACAAGCCCACAGCAATTAAGGCTTTTGGGACTTGTAGGCACTCATTCACAGAATTCTGTGAAGGAGTGACACGCCCGTGTGGGTGGAGCCCCAACAGCTGTGCTGTTTTCAAATCTGACAGATAGTATTGGGAAACGTCTCCCCGTACTATCTGTCAGAGGGAGAAGGGCAGTGGGCGCAGCTACAGCTATGGGAACATGTTACATGTTCCACCTTAAAAACAGGTGGAACATGTGACATGTTCCAAAGGTGAACTTATCCTTTAGCCTGGGTTCACACTGATTCATATCACATCACATTCCTGAGCAAATCTTATGTGAATTCTGTGCGGGGCAATTTGAGCCATACATTTTGTCCACACCAAAAAAGGTGCAGGACCCTTTTTTTGGTACGCACCAGAATCGGATCTCATGGGTATTCACACCCATGTGATCCGTTTCTGCACACTGCACCACTTTTTTGCCAACTGATTTCAGGGTGTTGTTAACTTAACATACGCACCCACAGCAGTTCGCATGAACGGGGTGCGATTGTGATGCGGTGCAGAATTCGCACAGAAACTGCTGCGAATTCCGCACCGCATCAGTGTGAACCCAGACTTAACCACACACATGTAAGCACCTCCTCCTGTCAGTACACCCACTATCTGA